GTATGTGTATGTGCACGAGTGTGTGCTCATGTGCCCAGGTGTGTGCATGAATGCTCATGGAGGTCAGGGGTCAACCTCAGGTTGGTCTTTAGATACTGTCTTTTGTTTTGTTTGGTTGTTCAGGGTTTTCTTGTGACAGGGTCTCTCACTGGCATTAGGTGCTTGTCAAGTAGGGTGCCTGGCCAGGGAGCTTCAGGCACCTTTCTGACTCTGAATCTTTAGCTGGGATTACTAGCAATTCAGAATCAAGAAGATCCATGATGCTCACCCGGCTTTTTTTTTTTTTTTAAGATTTATTTATTTATTATGTATACAGAAGAGAGTGCCAGATCTCATTACAGATGGTTGTAAGCCACCATGTGGGTGCTGAGAATTGAACTCAGGACCTCTGGAAGAGCAATCGGTGCTTTTAACCTCTGAGCCATCTCTCCAGTCCCCTCACCCGGCTTTTTGACGTGGTTCTGAGGAATGTAGATCCTCATGCGTGTGTGCTTTTGGCATTTGACTGCCTGGATCGTCTCCAACCCCACTTGATGTTTTAATTTAGATATTGCGGGGATAAATATGATGCTGATACCATTAACTGACCCGAGCTGGGACTCTGCTGTTTCTTGATTATGGGACTATTTGCTTTACTGAAATAGTGCTCCGAGGCCTTGAGCTGTCATGTGAAGAGCAAAAGTTCACCATTTTCCTGGGATCTACAGAATTCAGATTCTGTTCATTGGTTCTTTGACCTTGAACTAGTTGCTCAACCTCACTAACCTGTGGTGAAGGGAAGCTGGGCTCAGGGTTGGGGGAGACTTGAGAGAACATGTTAGAAGCTGAAGTCTAGGCAAGAGTGAAACCAGTATTTTAACTTTTCAGTTCTTTTTCATTTTATTTATTTCTGAAATTTCAGTCATATTTGGTAAAGAAATGGACTGGGATTTTGCTTACATTTTATCTTTAATAATTTCATACTTTATTCTTCTGTACTGTACTCCTAAGACGAAGTGGCTTTACCCAAATCTGTCTGTCAGAAGCACTGTTGTTTTTCCCCCCTAGCTGATACAGGCAAGTTGGGCCCGAAAGGAAGGAAACTGATGTTTGCACAGATACTGTATATTGTGTGCTTGCTCAGTCATTTCCTGGGTCAGTGTAGAATGTAGTCTCAATATTTAATATGTGAAAATTCTGCTTTGCCATGGTAGAAAGTTTTGAATTCTAATATTCATAAAGAAGTCTTCCACTTATGAGATTTTAGATAGAAAGGACTAGAGGACGGCACATCCTTTCTTTATAGATGATCAGAGAGAGGCCCAGGCAGGGTAGTAAGTAATAGTTTGGAGACACCATTTAATTAAATTCAGAACCACGACTCCTCAGATCTAACATCCGAGGGGACCACCCACGCAAATCGGTTTTTACAGTGAAATTTGTAGCCAAGTGAAGGTGAGTATAATGAGCTCTGGAAGAGAATCGCTATGCTGAGGAAGCGGCCAGGTATAGGGAGCATGTGCGAAAAGACCTGAGACCGGAAACAGCAAGATAGCCAAGAAATGGAAAAGCTGGAACATGGAAAAATGGCTGGAAGGGGAAGGATCGTGCACGCCGCGCCTCGCAGGCCTGTTGGTATTTTCTGTGCCAGCAGAAGTTGCAAGCTCAAATACAGAGAGCGGAGGGAGAGAAAGTCATTGCCTCCCACGCTTTTTAAAGTGCCTCCCAGTTGACATCATTCCAGAGAATCCAGGGCTCTGAGGTCAGACTCCAAAGTCTAAACCCCAACTGCTTAAGGAGGGTAGGAGTAAGAAGTAACCCCAGCAAAGGCATTCTGTCCAGAGATGAAAACACTGGATTGTTGGAAGTATGAAGGAGCAGCCCAGGAAACACCTTTGTACACGAGAGAAATAATGGTACCTCATCCTACTGTTGCAAGGAATAACAGAATTGCAAATGCCTAGTATTAGGAAGAATTCATAAAAACGTCTGCTACTAGTAATAATGACAACAATATCAACTATTTGAGTACTTTGAAAACATTTTAAAGGCGAAGTGCACAGGTCCAGAATCCTAAGAATCTTCAGTCCAATTCCAAATTCCCAAGTCACTTGAAATCATTGTTTTGTTTTGTTTGTTTGTTTGTTTGTTTGTTTGTTTGTTTTTTCAAGACAGGGTTTCTCTGTGTAGCTTTGCACCTTTCCTGGAACTCACTCTGTAGCCCAGGCTGGCCTCGAACTCACAGAGATCCACCTGGGTCTCTGCCTCCCGAGTGCTGGGATTAAAGGCGTGCGCCACCACTGCCTGGCAAGTTGTTTTCTTTCTTTGTTTTTGTATTTGTTTTTGAAACCATTGTTTTTTAAGTTCAGTAAGAATTTCTTTTGGTGGCCGTTCCAGGGCTGAAGGATGTGAGACTCCGGTCATTCTTTATTCTACTTTGTGTGAATAGTCTTAGAATTTCACTGAGGAAATCATTGCTGTGTTTTCGTCCTACATGTCACACCCTGAGTTTTACCCAGTGTCATGAACACCACTGCATTCTCTTCTGAAGTCTAAAAGAGACGTTTTCCTCTTTCTTTGCAGTTCTGGGGATCAAGCCCAGGCCCTTGTCCAATCAAAGGGTCCTAAATTTTATTTATTTGTTTATTCACTTTATTAATTATAAACTTGTGCGTGTGAGTGTGTGTGTGTGTGTGTGTGTGTGTGTGTGTGTGTGTGTGTGTGTGTGTGTATGTGGGGGGGGAGTGCAGTCACCATGTGAGTAGGTGTAGGAGACTAGAGGTTGAAGTCATGCATCTTCAGATGAAGACAGTTATCTCTCTCTCCACCTTATTTTTTGATTCTCTCATGGAACTGGAGTTGCGCCATTCAGAGAGACAGGCTGCTCCTGGGACTCTCCCTCCCCATCCCTGGTGCTGGCATTATGGCTGTATGTCAGCAGGGCTTGATAGAGCATGCTGAGGCTCTGTCCCCATGCCTGCACAGCAAACACTTTACCCACTGAGGCCTCTCCCCCAAAAAGTTATAAATTCTAACACACATATGATTGTGTTTTCGTTGAGGAGCTGCTAGTCTGTCTATTTCAGTCAGCCATCAGCGGAACGCTTTATCTAGAAGTTTCCCTCTCCAGCTGGAGGTGTGAATACTGAGTATATACATGGTGTGTTTGCTTCAAGTCCCACTGTTCAGAAGGAACGGAGCTGGAATTGGGCTCTAGGGCTCCCTGACCGTGTGGAACAGAATCAGATGCACATCCACACTGTCTTACCTTTTACCTTTTTTTTTTTTTTGAATTTTGCATACTTTAAGCATTTTGTTTTCTAAAGAGCACAGCTTGTGTTTCCAAATATAGAAGCATTTTTGTAGCCTGCTAGTTTTTATTGCCTAGAGGTTTTATATCTAAGCATCTTCTTTAATAACAATGCTTTTAGGAAGAATTATTATCGCTATTTTAATGTCATCTCTAACTCGGGGCACTTCCCCCATGTCAAATTTAACAACATGTTTGGTGTGTATTGTCTCATTTCACCCTCACAACTAAGTTGCTATTGCATCATCATCCCCCATTATCTGAAGAGAAAACTATGACTGCTAAGAAAATTCCCATCTGCACAGAGATTAAGTAACAGAACATGGATTTGAATCCAGGTAGACTAATGTTGCTGGGTAGTGCATTCTTTTCTTAAAAGCTCCCTTCTATAACATAATAATTAAAATAGCAAAATAGCATGCCTATAGCAAAAAAAAATCTCAAACAGTAAAAACATTGTGTAGTTTCTTACCCCAGAAAATAATGTAATATCACCTTTCACACGCACCACCATTCAGTTTGTTAAAGATCATGAAGAAAGTTGCCTCACCTGCAAAACACACACACACACACACACACACACACACACACACATTACTTTTTACATTTATAAATATACACATTTTCTACAGTTCACCTTTTGAAAATAATAACTGCGTGCAGTAGAAACCCTCCCATATCATCACTATCATTATTATTGCACATTTGAATAATATTTGTGTATAAATACTGCAATTTTTCCAACCCTATCCTACTGAAGTATGTTTCCAACTTCTTCTTACAAGACGCTGAAAATGAATGTCTTCATTTGCATAAAAATTCTTTTCATGTGGAATTAAATATATCTCTAAGATAAATTTTCCTGGCACTGAAAAAAATTAATGCAAGATATTAGAGTCTTAAATGCCGGAAGATTCTAGCAAATTACCCTCTAAAAGTGTTTGTTTTCCCAAGACTGTCTATCAATTCAACCTAAAATCTTCATAATTTGAGGATGAAAATGAGTATTTTATAGATTTAATTTGAGCTTACTTGTTATTTATTTTTTAAAAGGGAAACATTTTTGTGGATTTATGCAACAGTTTCTAAAAACTATTTATGTCTGACTTCTATCCTCTTCCATACGCTGTTGAATGTTCTCTTGTTAGTTTTCAAAAGCTCATTACATATTAGCAACCTGCCATTCGTCTGTCCTCTGTGTTGCACATTTTTCCCTGAGGTTGTCATTTAAACATTTTAATCTGTCTCTCTATATAAACACACACAAAATATATAAAATATAGTATACATATGTTAGACATATTTACATATAAACACCTATTTTAAAAGTTAATTTTACAGGGCTGGGGAGATGGCCTATTGGTTAAGAGCATTTACTGCCTTCCCAGAGGACATGGGTTCGATTACCAGCACTCACATCAGTGGCACTCACCTGCTTATAACTCCAGCTCCAGGGTCTCTGATACCCTCTGCCCTCTAAGGGTCCCTCCATGAATGCAGTGCACATAAACTCACCTAGGCACACACATGTACAACAATAAAAATAAATAAATAAATAATAAAAAATTTTAAAGGTAATTTTATGTAGTTAAATACATTTTTATAGTTTTAGCTTTTACATAGTTTATATTGAAATATATTTAGAACTGACATATTGCTCTAATTTCTAGAATGATGACATTAATCCAGTTCTCTCGGCCCTTCTGTTCAGGTGTGCTAACAGAACAGGAGGCAGGTGCTCTGGGGCAGAATCTGAATTTGGAGTCATATTCACCATACAGCAATGCCCAGTTTCCTCAAGTCCAACCACAGATTTCCTCATCATCCTATTATTCCAACCTGGGTTTCTACCCCCAGCAACTGGAAGAGTGGTACTCTCCTGGAATGTATGAACTCCGGCAAACGCCGGCTGAGACTGTGTACCAGGCAGAGACGGAGGCGTCAGAGATGCCTGTAACCAAGAAGCCCCGCATGGCCACATCATCGGCAGGAAGGATAAAAGGGGATGAGCTGTGCGTTGTCTGTGGAGACAGGGCCTCCGGGTACCATTACAATGCACTCACCTGTGAGGGTTGCAAAGGTGAGTGCTTTCTGACTGTTCATTTTAGTAAAATTCCCCTGTGTTTAGTAAAATTGACTGCTACAATTTCTTGAACCAGTTTTATATGCAAGACAATAACCAAACTTATGAATTAAGTATAAAGGAACTACAAAACTATCCCAATGAAACAGTAAGATGTGTTATGGGTTTTTGTTGTTTGAACTGTCGGTAAGGCGTGGCCTTTTTTGAGTTTGAGTTTGAGTTTTGAGTTTGGTTCCGTGTGCCATGAAAGGCTCCACTTCACCGCTCTTCTCTGACCCACATCTTGGTTCAGTCAGAGCTCCATTTAGCCTCAGCTGGGGACGTATCGTGCGTATTAAGTTTGTCTTTGCTTTTTTCTCACTGCTCTTGATAATTAAGTCACATTTCTTGCTGTTAATGAGATCATGGGCACAAACAAACTCTGAGGGCAGCTGGTTTAGATGTCAGGACAAGATGGCCATAGAGATGATCCAGAGAAGCTATTATTAGTTTTTAAAAGAATATTATAAAATAAAAATGCAATAATAAATTTAATATGGGGCCTGTGAGATGGCTCTGCAGTTAGAAGTGCTTGCCGACAAGCCTGGTGTCCTGATCCCCAGGACCCACATGGTGTGGGAGAGACTCCTGGAAGTTATTATCTTATTTCCATACACAGGCCACAGCACGTGCATGCTGCCCCTGCTTAAACAAAAAGAAAAAGCATATACAAGTAAAAATAAATTTAACATGGGTAAAAGAGTTAGTAAAATGTATGGCACGCAGTGAAAACTTGGTGAGTCTCTGCTATTATTCCTGTTCTATTCAATTGTGTAGAGTGACGTAGGTGCAGGACAGCAGCCTGTGGCAGTTTCTGGAAATGCAAATTTGAGGTCCCACTCCAGTCCTATGGAATGAGAATTTCTGGAACCAGAACCTGAGAATCTGTGATTTCACAAGCCCTTCGTGCTAAAGTTGGAAAATTCTGGGCATAAGTTATATCTAAAAGGCACCCAAGAGGGTTGGTTCACCTGGCTGAGCACTGTGAGGTGGGCAACAGAGAACCTGGGGGTGGACGCACTCTCTTTCTCTCTCAGGTCACCACGAGGACAACTCCATACATAAAAATGAGGACTGGAAATCTGACTGGACAAATTCCAGTCTAGGTCATGCTTCCTGCCTAAAGAGAAAAGAAAATGAAAAGAACATTCATAGTTTAAAAGTCTAGATCAAAGGAAAACTCCCCATGTAAACACTCTATAACCTGTATGTTACAGTAATGACTACATGGGCTGATTCTCTCTGGGCCTTCACCTGGGAAATGGGCATTCTGTGTGCATCTGAAAGGACAGAGTACCATGAAATCCCTCCCCTCAGGGGCTCAGGGAACCCTGAGGAAGAGGAGGCAGAAAGAGTGTAAGAGCCAGAGGGGATGGAGGACACCAAGAAAACATGATCAAAGCTCCTATGAACTCACAGAGACCGAGGAAACACATGCAGGGCCTGACGGTCAGCACCAGGTCCTTTGCACACGTATTACGGCTTTCAGTTTAGTGTCGGTGTGGGATTCCTGAGTGGGTCTCTGTTTCCTGTGCCTTGTGTCTTCTCTTGGGCTCTTTTCCTTCTGTTTGTGCTGTCCAATTCTGATGTGTTAGTTTTTGTTTTATCTCGTTTATTATAATTTTATTATAATATTAAAACTTACATAATTTTATTATATTTAATAATTATTGTAATACTTATTATATTTTATTATTTTATTATCCCTCAGAAGCCTGTTCTTTTCTAATGAGAGTCAGAAAGGGAGTGGATCCAGATGGGAGGGGAGAGAAGGCGGGATTAGTGGGAACCAAGAGAGGGGAAACAGTAATCAGGCTACATTATGTGAGGGGAATAAAAACTATTTTCAGTAAAAGGGGGAAAAAGAAAGGAAACGGAGGGATATGCATATTATATCAGAAAGAAGCTGTGGTTTTGAGAGGTCAGTGATGCGAACACGTGGAGTGTATTTATCGTATTTACATTGACCACAACAGGGTTCTTTAATTTTCATACTGTATGCTTATTTTGTTGATAAGCAAACTGAAATCCAAAATGTTAATGAACAGACCCAGGGCTTCCCAGTTAATGGCGGTGGGGGCGGTCAGCTTTAAAACTACAGCTTATAAATCTAACTAACTCCACACCTCGTAAGAGTGACTTCCAGGCTGAGCGGCTTGTCCTACTCTTGGGCTGTCTGCTCACAGTCAATACTGATGACCTCAGTAGCCGAAGGGGGAAAGTCAAAGGCTTCATTTAGATATTGAGGTTTGATTTTGATTTATTGAGGTTAGATATTGATCAGCCCACGGATCAAACATCAAAAGTCAGAAATCTGGAACAGGGTACCTCATAAGTAAACCCAAGTAAAAAGGTCCTAAGAGTTCTGGGGCATGGCACAGTGACTGCAGGGAGACTAGAGAGCCAAGGGAAATCCCCAGCAGCACTCACCTAAAAGGCCTTCAGGGGAGTTTTCAGGAAAAGACTCCCCAGGATGGAGAAGCTAAGTCAGAGGCTGCGGGCCTCCAGGAAAGCATGGGACCACAGCTAGCAAGGCACACAGGTGGTCAGAGGAGCCTGGTCCTTTGAGACTGTCAAGAAGGATTCGGATGTAGACACATTTTTAAGAGCAGAGGAAGGCAGGGTTTCCTTCGATTGATTTTGGTTTGATACTTTGCCCCCATCATGCCAGCAAATGACAAGCTTGCAAGACAGAGCCAACAGGGCCCATCCCCAAAGGGCCAGACTACAAACACGTCAGGATCTTCGCCATAGACGCGTCTGTTGGGACGGCTCCACTCTGCAGACACAGCACGTATGCAGATGTGTAAAGAGTAGCCGTGGCCTCGTTCTACCGAACCTTGCTTATTACAGAAACAGGCAGGAGAATGAAGACCAAGGTATATTCTGTAGCCTGCTAGCACCCATTCTCAACCACAGACGAGGGCCACTAACCAGAACCAACTGCAAACACAGCAAGAATGCTCCACACCCGACCATGTGGGCAAGAAATGGAGCCTCTTGCCTAACTGGATTTGATTCAACATCAGGCCCTGAACTTCATTTCATTCAATTCAGGATTATTCCCCTACTCCTGCCAAACATCTTCTGAATTGTGGTCAGGTACCAGGTTTAGCAGAGTGCTGGGGAGTGACGGGGTGGCTTTGTGGTGGGGTTGATCCTCAGTACTCTTGAGCTAGCCTGTGGGGGTGATGTTCTGGCTGCTCTCCAGTCACCAGTGAGAAGATGGGGTGCTGTGCAGCAGCATCCTGGGGTGCTGCGTGCATTCCTCCTCCATCTCTGGCCCTATCTGTGCATTTCTTTTGGGTCAGGGGCAGGTCCCTGCCGTTGCTGCAAGGTTGTGGTTGCAATACCCGGCTGTACCAGGAAACCATGAAACTGTTGATCTGCTCCATGCCAGGCTGGGCACAGGGGACCCTAAGCACGCAGGATCCCAGATGACACTGGGTTCTGTCAACTCTCAACCCATCTCTAGGATTCAGTCTGAAAATGGGGACACGGGAGGAACAGAGTTCCAGCATCCCTTAGTTACTTCTCTTTGCCGCCCTAAACACTGCTGGTCACAGGAGTATACTACCTTAGATGTCGTACAGTGTTTGGGATTTGGGAGTTCAGGCTTTGGCGTGTTGTTTGTTTTTACTCTTTTTGTCTTTTGGGGGGACCCCAAACAAATCACACACAGAGGCTTATTCTTAGTTTATGAATGCCCAGCCTTCGCTTGGCTTAGTAGTAACCAGCTTTTCTTAACTTCAATTATCCTGTCTAACTTTTGCCTCTGGGCTTTTCCTGTTCTCTTACTTCTGTAAATCTTCCATTAACTCTGTGGCTTGCTGTGTAGCTGGGTGACTGGGTGTCTGATCCCTAAAGTCCTCCTCCTTCTCTCTTGTTCCTTGATATTTTCTCCTCCCAGATTTCTCCTTCTATATATCCTCTCTGCCTGCCAACCCCACTTATCCTTTCTCCTGCCTCGCTATTGGCCGTTCAGTTCTTTTTTTTTCTTTTTCTTTTTTTTTTTAATGCTGAATGCTGTTTATTGAAGGAGGGAAGAGGTCTTAAATACAGACTTACAGCACAATGGGAGAACCCCAGAGGGCAGAAGTTCGCTACTGATGTTTTACAATCTTGCATCTAAGCTGTTAATGCCCATTATGCAGGATACACATACAAGGAACTTCCCTTAAGCATTCAGGAGGGTGGAACCTGGCAGGGAATTAGTATAGGGAGGATATCAAGGTCAAGGTCAGCAAACAAGGCAACAGTTACCCAAAACGGGGGCCAGGACCCTACAGGTCCCCCTTTTACTAAAAAATGAGCTTCTGACTTAGGTTTTGTGGGAAGTCAGCAGGTCACCTTACCTGTCATGGAGATGCCTGCCCAGGACACACAGGCGCTCTGTCTTAGGTTGGTGAGCACCCCCCAGGAATTACCTGTCTCTGAATACTCATTATCATACAGGCTCAATCGTGTGTGAGTTGCAGAGTTAACTGCTGCCAAAGATCTCAAAGTGGCACTGGGCTTGTAATCTGTGTGTTTGACACAGAAAAGACCAACAGAGGTCCTATCCCACCCATAGCCAGTAGGCTAAAGGCAACTGAGCCATTCCCTTCCTTAATGAGCCTTACTGCAAATTGGAGTCCTTGTAAGGTGGTATCCCAAAAGCAAATGGAACTTGAGTTTATAAATTTATAATTTTCAAAGCCAATCAAAATGTATATAACTATTGAATTAAATTTATCATGCCCAATAGAATGAAAGATTAATTAACTGTTGTAGCTACTTTTGCTGCCAGGGTCTCCACTGTGCTAGCTGTAGTAAGCAATTATGAAATGGTAATCCCATAAACAGTAGCAGCAGTGGCCGCCACTGCTATAACAGCAACAACGGCAGCAGCAATGTCAAATTCTCTTCTGGAGCATGTGGACATCCACTGGCATGGATACAACTTCAGGAACACGAAC